CCTCGGCTGTGTTTGAGAAGCACCAGTTCAGAGACATCTCTGTGGGCCCACCCTACCACTTCAAATAAAGGTAATGTGCTCAGAGTATGTAACACTTGAGTTTGGAGGGGCTATCCTGTTCACAGTGGCCTTGGAGTGGAGAGATGGCAGCAACAGATGTCTGGCCAAGAGAGGATGGTAGAGCACGGGGTGACACTAGCCCCACACAGAGCCCCAGGGGGATCCTGGGGGCACTTACAGCTACTTTTAAGTACTTAGAACACAGCAATGAATTAACATGGTCTCTTTGCAAAACACGCACACATCAGATTAATCTTATTTTCTTCTTTAATACAGTGCCAGACGTGGTGGATAAAGGAGCAGCAGCAGATGGGATGTCTTCAGTAAAGCTTTTGACACTGTCCCCACACAGTATTCTCGTACACAGAACACTGCAGTCTGATGTTCATCGATATGAGGTAGGTGCAAAACTTGCTTGGCAAGAAGGGAAGTTCTACAAGAGCCCTCTTGGGCTTAGTTTTATTTGATATTTTCAGTCATGGTTTGAATGATGAAATAAAAGGTAGCTTGTAAAGGCTGCAGATGCTGCCAAAGGACTCCAGGAATCATCGTGGACAGGACTAAAATCCAAAATGAGTATGAGAAATTGGAGAACGGATCAAAAAATCAGGAAACTAAAATGGAAAATGTGCAAGTTGCTACGTACAGGGAGGAGAAGTGAGCTGCGTATTTGCAAACAGGAGCATAAAGGCAGAAGCTCTGAAGAAGAGGCTGTGGAGCCCAAATGCATGCCAGACTGGCCCTGGTGCTGCAGGTGATGGTGTGGATGATGAACAACTCACCAGGGCTGCTGGGGGAACCTTCCTTCTGCAACCCGCCGCAGACCTCGGCAAGAGCATCCTTTGCAGCTGAGCGAGCTGGATGTCTAAGCATGACGTATGGACAAGCTAACTCGTCACACTAGGAAGTGCTGTTACAGGCTAGTGGCAGGTGTACTGGAATCATCATTTAGGATTTTTAAGACCATGTTAGACAAATCCCCAAGTATACTGAATCCTGGGTTGTTGGAGGGCCTGGGCGATGCCTTTGCTCAGGTTACTGCAGCCTTCTCATGCCATGATGCTGCCACTGGTCCAGCTCTTCTGGAGTTTTGTTTTGTTTTTTTTTTACAATTTGCTTAGGCCAAATGTCATTGTAAAGATTAGGACAACAAGAGATTTAAAAAAAATAATTTTTTGGTTGTTGATAAGCCTACAGCTTCCATTTTGTGGGCTGCTCTGGTCTCTTCTCTCTGTCATCTCCAGAAAGGCTACGTTTGATCTGGGAAAGGGTTGAAGAAGGGCAAGAAGGAAGGCTAAAAGGTACAGCAGCATTTCTGCACAAGGGACAATTACAGAGATGTGAGCTGTTCAGATGGAAAGAGACAACCCAAGTGTTCCAGGATGGAGCGTGACTTCCTCTTTGATGTGGAGAAGGTGACTGAGAAACAATTGTTTGCTGCCAACTGTGGTGCAGGCAGCAAAGGTGTCCATCGCAGGTGACAGGAATGAAGCTGAAGATGAGTAAGAACTTTGTCTTGCTGCTTGTGACCAAAACAGGCAACCCACTGTGTACCAGAAATTTATGTGGGTCCAAAACACAACAGGAGATAAAAACCGGGCTACTAGAGGCAAGGACTACCCCTCCTGCTGGGGAGCCCCGAGCAGCAGCGTGCTGGGGGCCGTACCTTGACGTGCAACGTGTGGCTGATAATCCTCTTTTCCTAAACATCTGCTACTGACTGTTACTGGAGGCAGGATTATGGGCTGGTCTGTCCTGTAACTATTCTGCTCATGTGAAAGCCTGAGGCTTATTTATGCTTTTCCACAGTAACGTGAACTAACACTTGAGAACAAACTCAACTATTAGCGTTCCACCAAAAAATGAACTTGTAAAATAAAATTTAGAACAGTTTCCTTTTGGGCTAATTGCTTGGGTTTATTTAATGGCAAGTTTTGGCAGAGCTGTTTGCAAATTGATTTTGTCCCTAAATCACAACAGTAACAAGGCTCTCTCCCTCTGACCTCACACCCTCTCAGTTTATTGCCGAATGTTTAGAAACATTTATGGAAAAGCTGGCTGGATGATATGCATAAATACTTTTATTTCCAGAAAGCTGGCGGACATGTGCAGGTCACTGTTGTGCCTCATGAGATGTGTGAATGAAGACTTGCACAACAGCCTGAGAAATACAGTGTGAGCAAGAGCGTGGCTTGGCCTCAGTTGGCTTGAGAAAGCCAAGAAGGTAGCCAAGAAAGTTCAAAAAGGTCCTTCTCGTTGCATGGGCTGGGCTGGCTGCCTCACCCCCTCTAGCTCCTCTCCAAACATTGTTTTCTAAACCCAGTGCTTTCCTGGTGGTCCACTTTGCTCTTGGTTACTGAAGGGTTTTCCTTCCACAAACAGTTTCCCAGGCCTAAGAAACGCCGCGGGTTCGGTTCGGACTGAAATGCAACGCACACGGTAGGACCCTGTGCCAGCACCGGGCACTGGCCTGGAAGGGGGACTGTGTGTGTGTCCACCCAGAGCAAACCCCCCACGAGACACCAGCTGGGGCTGGGAGCATTCCGCAGGGAGCAGCGCTGGTGGCTGACGCTTTACAGCCTCTGCTTCCTCGGTGAGAGCAATGGGTACCTGTACATCCCGGCTCCTGCTCCTTTCTAAACCCTGGGAAATGCCATTTGGACCTTCAGCATCTGTACTGCAGTTAAAATGAACCACCCAAGGAAGAATGCAAATCCAAAAAAAAATTTCTTAATTTATTGTAAATTCTCCTGTCATCTGTGCTGCAATTCCAGTGTTCTGCACATTAATAAATATACATTTGTTAAAAAAAACAAACAACAAACCTCCAGTGTCTAATCTGCCATAAAGCTTTTAAAAAGTCATAAAAATAGGTTTTAATTTTTTTGTCATTAATACAACTGACCCTCATTTACTGCAACAATTCTGATCAAAATAAAAACTACCTACATCTCACTGGGACAAAATATACATACACAGATGTAAAAACAACTAGTGTGGGTTATACACGATGCCTGAGCACACAGCCAAGTGCCAGACCCTTAAAACATTCAAAACTTTTTTCAGTCAGAAAATGTCACACAGTATGTTGCATAATTTTTAAAGGAACAGCATCCTTCCTCCCTCTCCCCTTCAAAAGGCCTCCTCGATACATTTGAAAATGCATAGGAATATAATGAAACCAAGATTACAGTATATATATTATTTAATTTTTTCCTCGACTCCTGCATTTTCTTTAGCCTGATTTTCTGTTTTTTCCCTTTTTCACACACAGTTACACAAACGAAAGTCAACATTTTCCCCAAAGGGCTGCTATGGCGAGCAAGGAGCTCCCGAAAGCCTTGGCACCAGAGAGCAGGTCACGGCCACACCATTGCTGCCCTTTGAGTCGCGTACTCCCACCACGGGCAGCCGCCAGCTGAGCTCTGCCCCATCTGTTGGATGCAGACTTTTTTCACATCCTATTTTTCCTTTTCTTGTAAACACTGCAGGAAGGTGAAGATGGTGGAAAGGCCACGCTTAACTTTCCTATATTTGTGAAACCAGCATATTTTGTGAGAAACATGAAACCTTAAGCCGTTCATGTCCTTTCTGAAACATCAAGAAGGCCAGAGCTTTGTCAAAGAGCTGGGCAGTGAAACCTGGACATCCTTAAAGACTCTTATTTCTGCTTTGATTAGCAATGTGCTGACTCCAGTGGGAAAGAAATTAACAGTAAAATAAAATACTGTGCCTGAGGCAGAACTTGCCCCACAGGAGGAGGACCCTCTTCTGGGGACACACAGAGCACTGGTTTGTCACAGAGCCAGATCAAAGTCAAAACCTACCATACAACGACACCGCTTGTTCGTGTTCTTGGTAAGGGAAATACTGACTTCTTCCAGACAAGGACTGTGTCGAAACCTTAGATGAAGATATGACTTATTTTTAGTCCTGAAGTTCATTTGCTGAACATTTCAATGCACTTGAGAGAAGAGGTCAAAACACCAAGAAATGAAAAAACAAAATATTTTTGGTGGGTTTTAGAAGAGGTTACCAAAAAAACATACTGTGTCCTTAAAGTGTTCCAAAATCTGTCAACAAAACTTATAAATTATCGTAATGGATTTCAATGTGATCTTTACTGTATTACTTTGAAAACTGCATTGCATCTTAAGGTGGCTTCCATGCAAACCTCAGTTACTTTATCAAATAGCCAAATTCAAGTAAAATTGTGCAATGTTCATATAAAAAATATCAAAACCTCTTTTAATCAATTTCCTAATATCAAATTAAGAAGATCAGTATAAATGTAAAATATACAAAGGAACTTTTTCTTTAGCAACACCATACAAAATATATAAAAGTATCTACACTTTATATATATATATATATAAAGGATTTTTTTTCTTCCTTAAGACAATGTGTCCATAGAGGGGTGGATAGAGATGCTGGCATAGAAACAAAAGGACACTTGTTGGGATATTCCTCCCTAGAGCCCAGCAAGCCAAAAGGTTCACACTGTAGCTGGACGAAACTCTCCAAGATACGTTTCCTGGTGCTTGTCTTAAGGCTGATGGATTGACTTACTGTAGGTCCACTGTGATAATAACATTTTTTCCTTGTTTCTCCCCAGTAATAAGTAACCCCTGCAGCACCGTCCCCACTGCGAGCCGGTATCCATCCCTCACAGTGCATCCCTGTGGCCATTTCCATGTGTTCTGGCATGGGTTCATGCCATGCAGAGTGTACCACACAGCAGCCTTACTGCAGCTGCATCCGGGCAGTGTCTCCGCCGCGAGCAGTCTGGAGTCTGCCATCATGTGAAACCATGTGGGAATCAATGCCCACCTTGTCCTCCTCGCTACGCAGCCACTCCAGTGAAGTCCGAGGCAGGCGGGTGGTGACCCCACGGCGAAGAGTCCAGAACCGCGCAGCAGCGATCACGGTTTCCCGATGGTTCAAATTGAAGTTTCGTTACTGCCTCTGTTAGTGAGAAGAAGTAATCACGCAGGCTTAGGGTTAAACAGGCACAGGCAAACCACTCCACCCTAACCCACCTAATCCTTTTTAGTAAGGACTCATGCTCTGTGAAGTTACCATGTCTTGCCAATCCAACGTTTGCAAGGGGAATGCTGCCCTGGAGGGGAAGACCAGCTGGGAGAAACAATTCCAGGTCACGCACCAGAGATGCACTCTTTAGAGGAAGATCTATGGAGGGCTTCTATTTGGCTAACGCTTACGTGAAGATGTGAGGTGCACACACAGATCTTACAATCTCTTAGGAATATGGTATTTCAGACAGATTCATGCAGTCTGCTGTCAAACAGCAGAGTACACAATAGGTAGAGAGATAAAACAGTTCCTCAGTACAAGCTGGCTAGTTATTCTCTGGTGATGAATGTAATACTTGGTAGCAGTAAGTAGTTATTGCTTGTTAAAGACATCTCTGTTTCCTGGCTCACCAGGATATATTTCAACAGCCAGTTCCCAGCAACCCCACGGTGTAATTTTATTAGTGAGCCGGGAATGGTCTGTGCACCCAGACAACATGGGTGTCTAAAACTTGGTGGGACAATGTCAGAATTAAAGCTGGGTGAGAAATTTTCTCTTGGTTTGGAGAAATAATGAGACTATTATTTGCATTAGTACAAGGAAGACTATGTGCATAAAATGTTTGCGCAGACTTTACGTTGTTCTCATTTTAAATGCAAGAATTATGATGAGTAATGAGGTTCCTGAGAACACCCTTTGGCTGAAAGCTTGCTCAGCCTTTGATAATGTTTGATTTAGCTTGCAATGGCAAACACGCACACTGATCACCGTGCAGCGGGTGGGAATCACACACCTGGTAATTCAGGGTCACGAGCTTGACATGGCACTTTCCTTGCAGCCTTTGGATCTCCTGCCTCAGCAATGGTTTCCTTCTGCCCAGCTAGACACCCACCCCATGCTACCCCCAACCTAGCACCTTTCCCTGGAAAACACTGGGCTTCCTCAGGGGTCCTCTTCACTGGGGTCTTGATGCCACCTGCCCTCCTCTGGTGGCTGCCAGACACTCACAACAGCTCTTGTTGATCTTACTGGACAGGCATCAAGAAGTGCTGCTCCATGTTTGCCCTGCACTTATCCTCTTCCTTGGGTGCCTGCCAAATTATAATTAACTGTACCCTGCTAGTGACAGATCCCTAATGGCCCCAAACACTCTCCCTGCTGCAAAAGGAGAGGACAGGACAGGTGAAAAAACAACTGTTCCCATGGTCCAAGGGGGGTGAAGGAGAGGGGCTGGGAGAAGCAGGAGCAAGGGCTAGCCCTGAGCAGAGCCAGTCCTGTTCCCTGTGGCTGGGGAAGAGTTGCGTGTCAAACTAGAGCAAGCACAGCTCCTGGGGCCATGGGTGGGCGTTGCTGATCCATCCTAGATGCCTGGCAGCATAAGGGAGCGGAAAAAGCCCACCCTTGTCCTGGTGATGGCGATGACCTTGGCAGCTCACCAGGCAGGGAGGAGATAAATAGTTTTATATGGCAGCCTTTGCTGTGACCAAGGGTCACCACACCAAGTGCAGCAAGTCTCACAGCAAGGGGACAGGGCAGAGCTAGGTTGCTGTCATCCCCAGCATGCCAGTAACACATCAGCTTGCCAATTCAGAGCACACCAGAGTGACCAGTGACAAGTGTCTGTCACGGCACCTTGCTCATGATACCTGGTTCCAGCCTTCTCATCAGTGAAACACCATGGCTGGTGGATAAGGTACGGACAAGCACTCAAGACAGTCACTGGTGAAGGACTCTAGTCCAGTCACCAAGTGAAATGTTTGCTCAGGGGGCGTTTGGGGCTGAAAAGTGAAAGGAGAGGCCAGAGTCCCGGGAGGTCTGCCAGGGCATACTGATGTGGCACTTACTCCGAGTCTGAGGTGTCAGCATGTCCTGTTCCCACATGGATGTTCATGGCCATGCCGTTGAGCTGGTCTCGAGACTGCTCCCTCCGAGTATTTTTTACTGTCACCCCTGAGTCCGAGGGAGAGCGAACCCCATCATTTGTCCCCAGGGAAGTAGTCCTGGATGAGAGTGTGGTCTGATTGTAATCCGACAGCTTCTCCCGCAATCGATTCTTCATATTCTTATCCACCAGTGGGGGAGGGTAGGTGACTTTATTTTTTAAGATGCCTGTTACAGAAAACAGGGAATAATGAGAATTTTGAAATGTATCAGTAATTTCAGTTATCAAGCTGAACACATCCAAGAAGTGACATTTTATAGTTCTGAATCAGACTTCCAGTTTGTCACTTTAACTGAAAAACCAAAATATTAGACTTCAGCAACTACCTACTAGTTTCCCACGGCACTTGGTTACACAGGTTGGAGCAGTGTGGACAGTGCTCTTCCCTGACAGAAGAACCAAACAATGCTCGTTAACCTCCCAGTGTCCCAGTCTAGCTGTGAGGCTGGGTTGGCTGTGGTACCTTTCCTCTGCTCTGGCTGCTGGTTATTCTGATGGGACAGAGGTCTGTTCTCCTTCTGCTGCCCTTCATTCTCCTTGTCCTGGGGCGCTTCATTGCTGTGGTTCACCTGGTTTTCCCTGTGAAGCTCTACGTTGACCTTGGTCTCGACTTTGAGTTTCTGTTTCCCACTGGGGTCCTCGCTGTCACTGGCCGTTGCACACTCTGTGGGCCAATAGGGTTTCACATGATTGGGAAGGGAATCAACTGCAATGCAAAAAAACATTAGCTCGAAAAACACTTTTGATAGGTTTTCTCAACCACTGCCCAGCCAGTCCTGTTCCTTGTGGCTGGGAAGTTGTGTGTCAAACCAGAGCAATGCTTCAGGTGATCCTTGCTAGACTGCACTGCCCTCGGGGTGCAGCAACACCCGCAAAACATGCCTGGTAGGATGGCAGGGTGTCCAAACCCTTCCCAAAGCAAGGTCAATGGCTCCATTACTTTGGTGTGAGAGAAGTGTGAGTCAAACCCGCTCTCTCAGCTCTCCAGGGTCAGCAATTCCACCAGCTCCCTGAGGATGATGGCTTCTGAGAGGTGAGGGCACCTGAGGCACCTTGTGCTGTGTCTGTGCAGAGCACCAGGACACAGCCTGGACAATTGTCGGTCTAAGCCAACTTGTCTTTAGGACAAGATGAACTGCACCTACACATGCCTGCACTCTGCTACACAGTACTGATATCAATGGCCAGTGACCTCCCACTCTTTAGGCCCATGACCTCCCCAACCCCACTAAATCCATATGCCCATTTGCATGAGGAGAGGCAGGTATTTCTTCCCCTTGCCCTGAAATAACCAGCTCCTTCCTCCTCTTCCTCATAAGCAACTTGTCTGGCCGTGTACCACCTGCTTGCAAACCCACTGACTGCTGTCTGTCTGAGCACCACACAGATTTTCTCAAGAGTCCTTTTACTCACACTCAATCACCCCTGTGAAGAAGCCCTCAGGAGGAAGAAAAAGGAAGGCCCTGTGGTAGGGACGCTGTCTCAATTGTATTGCTGGTCTGGCAAAATTGTCCCACCTACTCTAAAGCTATTTTAAAGAAGGGGAGAAGCCCATTGCTCTCCCCTTGCACTGGGAGTACCTTTGGGTGTGCTGTGCAGCGGGCCACGTTCGCTATTTTTGGAAGTGGATGTGTTCCATTTTTTCTCTGGCTCAAGCCCATCTTCCTCACTGTCTGATGAATGGGAGGAAGCGTAAGAGCTGCTGTGTTCATCGAGGGACAGTTCGCTGTCGGAGTCTGAATCGTGCTCTACAAATGTGGAAAGGGGAAACGCAGCGATGAGAGTGCGGACAGGAGTCGAACAAATCTGTCTGACCAAACGCAGAAGGGGAAAGCAAAGGCAGGCGGCTGGTGCAGGCCATGCCAGGGATGAGCTCTTACATCTGTAAGTGCACACAGGATTAATTCACAAGGACTGTGGCATCCTTTTAAGTAATTATGGGAAGCACAGCTGCTTGGGTCAGCAATGGGGCAGGACTTTCCATGTGCATGGGAGGTGCAGAACAGAATTTGGACAGTTTTTACCCTATCAAATATGCAGAACAGTAACTCCATAGGATCTCAATCAACACAACACACAGGCAAACTAAGGTACCTAGAAATACCGAGAATCTGCAAATGCACTCTTAAAAACTGCTACAAGGCAACCAAATTTAACACCGAGACCCCAAATGAAAGGAAGACAGGCAAGAGACACTTCTCATTTTCTTGTACAAAACACACAGCAGTAAAAGAGGATATTGCCTCCAGGTCTCAAATGTTAAAAGATCTCCAATTAAAAATCAAGAGCAATCATACATAATTTGTGAGAAAGAAAGGGGACGCCAGAAGCTGTCAACAGCTGTGACAGCTGTCAGATTAAAACTGAACCACCACAAGCAGATACATTATATTTCCATTTCAGGAGTCCCTAGTAAAGCAAGCATTGCATACCCTGTTATGCCAAGAGCATAACGAGAATCAGACATACCAAGTCAGACTAACTATTCTTCCTGTTACAGAAGCCTTTGAAAAAAGTACTGAGAAGGAAAAGGGGCACAACTGGGTCAAAGCATTTAGAAATAATTCTTACCATTGGATTTCGATGGATTCCTATGAAAAATGGAGGAATCTGCTTCAGTCTGACCAGCCCTTGCTTGACTTGAGGATCCACTGAGCTTATGAGCAGCCTCATCCCTTAGAGAATAAAAACAGGGGACAACTTTCTTGGTCACTTTACTGTTCTTAACAACAAGGCAGACATGCAGATGAGATTCTTCTGGTCAAATGCAGACAGCTGCAGTGGACGCTAGCCAGCCTGTGCTTGATTGTCAATGTGGTCACTTTTACAGCAAGACATAGGTTATCCTAATGTAGCTGTCTGCTTTCGGCCAGATGAATCACACTCTGACAGTAGCCTCGAGTTAATAAGCTAAATCCCACTCCTTGAGACGTGACTGAATTTGAACAGGCAAGCAGCACAGCCATACAGTTAACCTATTAGTTATGTTAACCACTACACTGTTGGAACACCTCACCGAAGATGCATGCAAAAGAAAATGCCAGTCACATAAACCAGAACTCTTAAGACATAAACCAAGTAGCATTTGAACCAAAACATTTGTGTTTTCCACAAGAGCAATGAAAAGGGAAAGGCAAGCACCTGAAAGCCATGCACCTGCCACCTGATTACCTGAGAATATAAGCAAGGTAGCTATTGTGGCTCTTGGCTGACCTGACGGTGCTTTCTAAGGAGACAGTAGATTCCCCAATAGTTGTGCGATACATATTTGGCTCTTCTATATACGTGTTGTTACAGTTCAGAGATCGCTGAAGGAAAAACAAAAAAGACACAAAGCAGTAGTGAATGATCCTACCAAAACTCCACGATAGCCACAAGTGCATTCAAAGTCTTGAAGGAACCAAGTGCTTTTTGATGCCGAGGAAAAAAAAAATTTCCTCTCTAAAGTTTTAATTAAAACAGTAATCAAAACTTTTGAGACAGGCCATCAGTAATCTTTGTACAAGTCACTGAAATCAATCAGACAATTCAGTTAACTACAGACAAGCCACTTACAAGTGTATTTAGGTCACTTCTACCAGCAAGAGGATGTTTTCTCCCAGTGTTGTTTTCCTTACCGTTAATAATGTAGCCCTTGTTGCAGTGGAATCATCTGGAAGAGGTTTCTTTCCAGTTAAAGTGTTCTTCAAGTGCTTCCTGACTTCTTTGTTAAATACACAGTGGAAGAAGAAAATGAACAGCCCCTGGATCATTTTAGAGAGAGGAAGAATAAATCTAAATGATTCATTACTACCAAACTGCAAATACAAACAGATATTAGAAAACAGCCTTATTCAAACAACCTCTGAATTCTAGGTTGTAGTCCATGATTTCAATAGCAATAACTATTTTCTGTTGTTGATTGAATTGGCATTGATTGATCTCCTAAGACTTCATAATTTGCTTCCATGTTCAAATGTGCATACAGGGTCTTGGAAGATACACAGAACAATGTCTTCCTCCAGGATTTACAGAGCAGAGCTTGTGGCAGGTCTAACATTTCCTTGTTGTTTGAGAGGAAATGTTCTTCCCAAAGGATCTAATGGGGACTTTAAGATCCCACTGGAAGACACTGCAGGAAGTTTCAGGGTTGTACTTGCATGAAGATTTTAGAGCTTTTACACTGATGATGAGACAAAGTCAACAGCAGCACATAGAAAGTATCATAGCCTTTAGTTAAAACCTCTAGAATGGAGAAATTCTGTGGTAGGTGTCCTTAATTCTGTTGCTTAGAGAACTCTAGAAGGCCTTGTGAAAGGTGAAGAGATACTGGGGGCAGAGAGTACCAACTTTTACTCCATATGTTCCTTGGTTCAGCAATACCTCCTGGTGGGAAAATCACTGAAATCCTCAGGGCTGGGCAGTTGCTGGCTGCCAGGAACACACATTAACAACTTTTGCTGGGGTCAGGGGGCACACACGTGTGTTCCTTCAGATGTATTTGCTCTGAGGGAATTCAAGCAGCTGCCAAATTGTTATCAATTTTGGTTGGAGATATAGTACATAGAGGCCAATCACTCATGAAGTTGCAGCTGTACCAACATCACAAGATGCCTACATTTCATGATTTCAGACAAAGCAATTGACTTAGAGAAGCTTTAAACTTCAAGCTCACTTTCTAAACTTCCAATCAAATGTGATCTTAGCTGGCATTAGCACTTTGGGATTATTAATTAATAAAATTCACATAAATGTCTCTTTAAAAATACAAGTTCAAAGAAGGCAGTGACGTGAAACACCACATACCACTGTGCCTCTCTGGGCAAGTTTGGAGAATTCCAGCTGCTGACTTTCCTCCCTCTCATCAGGTTTATGTTTAATTTTATTTTAGGCTTGTGGAAGCCTGGTTTTACAGCCTGAGCAGTTGTATTTCTTTCAGAGCACATCAGTTTCAGTGGGAAAATAACGTTGCTCTAGGCTGGCCTATCTGGTGTGCTTCCAGGGCATGGAGAGTCATCTCAGGAGGAGACTCATCAGACTTCTTTTTCTCTTTGTTTGCAATTTGTGGCTGTTGTGCTGCAGCTGACAAGAGTGGTTTGCTAGCACCAGCTGTTTTAATACTGCAGGCACTTGCAATGACACTTACTGCCACCCTTGGTCATATTAAAGTTGTGACCAACATGAAGCTTCATGACTAATTCCGTGCCAGGTCTCCTACAAATAACTATGTTCTTCATTTTTAATCAACGAGTGTGCACACTGGGACAGGCAAGCCAGTAAATCCCTAATGCAACAAGTTGTATTTGAAAAGAATTTTTTGGCTCATTTCCTTAACCAGTAACTTAATTTCTGAAAGCCTTGAACTTGGAGCCATCCACTCTGGGTAAAATAAAACAGTCTCTTATTTGCTGTGGCAACAGAACAACTGTTAAAAATGAGTAGGCAGAAGACAGTTAACAAAGATTTTTGTCTCCAGAAAGACAGAGGTATAATTGCCTTCTGTCATTTATCTATCACAGGTTACAATAGTAGAGTACTTCAGAATGATTAAAAGTGAGAGATGCAATTACTAAAAGTTATGGTTTTGGTGAAAAGAATCTTCTCTTTGAGAAGAGAGAGCAAAAATTGTACTTGAAATCTCTGTTTTTCTTAAGTCAGCAGGTTTTTGGAGGACTGGGTGCAGCAGTGTGCTCACCAAGGTCTGCCACGGACAAAATGCCATCCAACTTACCTGCAGGCAGCTGAAAATGGCAAAGAGATAGTGAAACGTCATGACATCACTGTTCACCGCCATCAGCCCCAGCAGCCATGTGGCACTGATGAGGAGCAAGAGCAGGAACGCCGTTCGCAGCACAGAGCTGTAAAGCAAACACAGACGGGCATTTGCAGCGTGACAGGATACAAGAGAATATCCCAACTTCTCCACATGGGCGGTGACACACGCCCAACGATCTGACAGCTGGAAAGGACCTTTGGGAAAATTAGGGCAGTGTTCATCAGCTCCCACTTCCCAACTCTCTCATTGCACTACTCAGTGACTTAGCCTATTCAGGTGAAAAAAAGGTGTTTTCTTTTCAAGTTCATTTCCAAGGTTTTCTTCAAACAAACCAGGCTGTTTGCCAAGCCCATGCTGCTCAGCCTTGTTGACTCTGAGGAAGAGATCTGGGTGGTAAATGGTCACGTTCATCTCATTTCTGTTTGCTCAGTTCACTCTTGCATTCCTTCTCAACACTACAGCCCAAGGTTTCAGATCAAGGGCACTCAGGGGAATATTTCTTTGGTTAAAAACATTATTTCCATAGACGCTTTCAAAAGATGGTCACAATTCTAGTGGTAAAATTTTTGTATTATGAGTAAAAGAGCTGCCATTAAATAGCAATTATACTCCATTTGTTTAGGGAGATTTAAAAAAGAAACTTAAAAAAAAATTACCCAACAGTGAGGGCTGAATAAATAGCTAGAAGAAGCCTTTTGAAACCTCATACAGCTATGTATTTGAAAAAAAACAACAAGAAACAAAACCAAACAGGGGATGTCTTGCCACTAGCTAATCATGTTTCAGTTCACAAGTAAATTCTGAGCTTTGGGCAAAACAGACATCAATGGGAACAGGCTGCCACAGCAGCTTGGGAAGGTGGCAGGTTGCAGCTTGCGAGGCTTTCTGCTTGTCCCATGAGGAGTGGGATGGGGGGAGGCTGGCCCTCAGCACAGGACCCTCAACGGGTCTCTGACACGTCATGGCCAGTCACCCAGGCATTAGTGAGGGGAGACTTTTCTGAGCCATGGGCAAACATGGAGAGACCCAGAACTATGTCCACCAGGGCATGCCATGGGTGGAGGTGAAGTGACAGTGTGGTAGGGAGTATGACGAAAGATCTGGAAGGACTGCAGTGATATCAGCTGGGAACCAGGCCTTTCCTTCTCTCCTCTCTTCTCCTGCCTACACTTGGTGGTGGTGCAGAGCACTCATGGTGGAGGTTTTACAGAGCCTCCAAGGGAACCCCAGGAGTAGCTGCTGGTGAAGTAGCTTAAATCAACCCTACCAATGCTGATTGTCTCCTCCAAATTTCTTATTTATTTCCCAGCCCAACACTTGCTTTTAGGTAATTCTGTCCCTTTATTATTCCTGGCCAGAACTTTTTCTACAAGTTTTTGAACCCCAACTTACACAACTCCAGTTTTTTCAAAGGAACGTTGCCTTCGTCTGCACGATGCTTTCATTGCCAGTATAAAGATGACAGTGTTTATCTGAAAGGGAAATTGAAATAACAGCATAGATTCCTTCTATCAAGTTGTTAGGGCTCAGTTTTCAATGACAATACAATTTCTAACTTAAAATGGTTTGTGGTGCCAAGAATATTTTTCCTTCAATTTACACATCTCAAAGTTCCAAGATTCATCTTGTTTCAAGCCAACATAGTCAAGAACATCCTGGGACTTGATTTGGATGAAACCTAGTAAAATGGCCCTATGCAAAACAGTTTGAGTGAAACACAAAACTCAAGAATGGCTGTCCTTGTCCAGACCAAAGGCCATTCAGCCCAGCATCTTGTTTCAGGTGGGACCAAGCAGAATATAGTAACAGAGCAAGCAGATAGTGATAATTCCTCTGAATGCTCCTCCAGGCTCCACTGATTTTCAGAGCAGGGATGTACTAGGTTGGGTGGTGTGTTTGTATTCAATAATTCATTGTGAATATCAGTGCTGGGAATTTGCCCAGGGACTTTCTGAAAACACACAGAGCTTTACCACCACCACTGTCTTGTTTCTATGGGTTTCTAATGTAACTCTCTGTGGAGCGACACAATGTAGCTTGTCCTGTTTGTTCTGAATCTGCCACATCCTAATACTAATCGTGTTGGAAAAGACACTAAACGGTTGGCTCCACAGTCATATTCTCCAGGCCACCATGCTATTACAAGCTCCTCCCTATCACCTTCTCTGCAGCTTTCTCTTCTCTAGGCTGAAGGCTCCTAGTCCACTCCAGTGAGGTCTGTCCCATGTCTCTGATGACTCGTGACAGGGATCTACACCACTTCTAGGCCTACTTCATACTTTTTGAGATGCGGAGACCAGACTTGGTGATAGATAGATACAGTCACACCATGGATGTCACTTCTGGTGCTCTGTTACTGAAGGATGTTTTAAGGGAGAGGTTAAGCACCAGTCAATTCTTTTAAATCCCTGAAATTGGAATTATTTAATATTCCTTTAAAACTTCTGGATGAAGGGATCTGCTACAGCGCATTTTGTTGATTTGTTTTATAAGCCCACCAACCAACCCTTCAAACATGGAACAAAGTAAACGGGAAAAAATAAATAGGTTTCTGGCCATACAGCCATTGCTCCACAAGCAATCTTGACATTGGCTCTGATTTCCTGGAGCTTAGCTCATGTCTTGTCTGTTTAAGCAAAAGAAGTAAGCTGAAGTACATCAGCTTCAAATGTAGAGTATAGTTGCTTCACATTATAATAACTGGTTGGCAAAACATAAAAGAAAAGGTAGCAGTAAGAAAAAGGCAGTTCAGGATGCCAGCTCCACCATACTTACAACTACAACAATTACGATGGGCCCAGCGAAGCTCCAGATAAGGGTGTCATGAACAGACAGCCAGCAGAAATCAGGGTTCCCATAGCCTTGTGGATCCAGACCAACAGCAAGCCCTGGGTCACCAAAATGAGAGAAAGTACATCAGAAAGGTGCTGCTGAGATTGTCGATATAACCAGGCACATTTTCAAATCACTGTCTGACAGACTAAACGATAATGGCAAAATGTGTTCAATAGGACAGTCTAGGAAGTTAAAATCAAGGCAAATATTGAAATAAAACTTTTGGAAATAAAAACCTTTACGCTGGTCACTCTATATCAAATGATACTATGAATTTGCCTACCAGAACAAAGTTCAGTTGCATAAAAATGACAAAAAATGCAAGTCCCAAATTAATTCTGTTTCAGAACAGTTTTATAGTCATACTCACACAGTGTGATGAAGCCTTGAGGGTGAGTGACATGTTGAGGAATTTCAATAAGCTTATGCAGCAGAATGACATGAATCATAACTGAGGAGATGTCTATACTACAAAAAAAGTGCATTCTTAACTGCCATGAGCTTGCTGTCACTAAAATAACACCAGAGACAAAAGAACCTGGGAACTCACGGGAGTTAACCGCTTGAGCTCAGGTGGGATTCAGTTTAAGCTGCCATCCCAGGTACCTCACCTTGCTCTCAGTGCTATCTGAAACGAAGTTTGTTAATGCCCCCAAGGCAACTGAGTTAAGAACACACCTTTTATTGTTTTATTTTTCAAAGCCTGGACAATTCCAAGAGAGTCTCTGAATCCAACCTTCACCTGCTGATTTACAGTGCCACCTGATTTGGTGACCTACACCTTGCCCATACGGCAACAGACTGGGATTGCTGCCTTTGACCTGCAAAATACTGCAGAGGTCTTCCTTCTTCTAGGCACAGAAATTGATCCCTACGAGGCCCATGGCCAATGACATATGGTAAATGGCTGCAGCGTGTTGTTTGGGCATTGATGGCACCTATTGTGTTGGGCGTATGTCCTGACTCAAGCAGGCGGCCAAGGTTGACGGCAGTGCTGTTTGCTACAAAGAAAATTCATGTGTATTAACAAGCACCCTTTTTTTTTAATTGAAGCCCATGTGCTTTGATGAAAAGACACTGAGAAAGAGAGAGGTAGCTGCACTTCGCTCTCAGTGCTTAAAGCTGGCCCACAGCCAACATTCACATCTGGTACAAGCCTATGGTCTATGAAAATTAAACTGGCTATTTGGCAAAGCAGTGGATATTGGATCTGCTTTCTCTGAAGTGTGGAATGAGATAGGACTGGTCTCCCTCCCTGCTCCATTGGCCCTTCCACCACCCCCTTCAGCAGTTACCATCCAGAAAAAAATAGCCATAAATGATTAAGGGACCATAAAATATTTTATACAGGTGCAATTCTATAGACACAGCCTGTTTCCCAGGACTTGATTTCCCCATTAGCGGGACTTAAACTACATTTTGACCAAACATCTGGCTCTAAAAGTAACTGGCAGACAGCAACATTTTTTCACTCTCAAAATTCTCCTCTCTAGTTCTCTATTAAACAAATGGGGCGAATTGCAGTCTTCAGGTATGTGGTTTAAATTTTACTAGAGTCAACAATATGTGAAATAATGTTTTACCCAAAGGCATGATTTATTAAGCCAATGCAATGCAATATAGAGAATCATTTTGGCACATCAATTGAATGCTGTAGCCTGGTTGTCCTGAGCAGACTAAGTGTGTGGGCTGCATGATAGCTCACTGGTTTTAGCAGAAACCAGGACTGGTCCTATGGTTGAGCCAAGTGTCCTGTGGGGACCAGCACCCATCCCAGGAGCATGTCAAGAGCACATCGTGGGGAGGTGTTGCCAGAGGGGCACCTTTTGAACCTTCTGAGCTCCTGCAGGCTTAGTAGCCCCATGTGACTCAGGCGGCTGCGTCAGCCTCACCTCTCTCCTGATTCATTGCCTCAGTATTCACAGCAAATAGCAGATTTGGAAAGTGCCATTTTCTGGAGGATATTGGTTTTAGGGCTATGTAAGAACCTGTTTTAACATGAGCACTGCAGTCTCCACGTCAAAGCAGTTACAGCACACACATGCCAACTGGTTAGTGTGTTGTGTGAAGACATGCAGAACTGGAGGGGTCTTGCTGGGTGCCAAATCCAGCCCTTTGCTCCTGAGGCAAGGAAGTAATAAAATCCTTCTCCTACATGGATCAAACTAGATTTTAAAATCAGCAAGCTTAAAGCAAATTTAAGATGCTCCACTATCACTCCCCATGGAAGAATATTCCTGATCCATACTTTTTTGATGGCTATAAGCCTCCTCCCAACTTCCATTCTACTTTTATCCATGACAATTTGCTTTTCTATGCTGTGATTAAATGTGGTTCTCCCCTGCTGGAGTATCCCCTAAGTAAATAGTTTGCTAAGTGTCTCCCCCACAAAGGTCAAGGTTCCCTTCTGCAAGTAGCCTGGGTCCCATCACAGATGCCTTAGGACACTATGTCCCAGCTTGAAAAGAATGTCAGTTTGAGCATGGAAAATAGAAAAGATAAATAAACAAAACAGAGTAAAGACACTGGTACTGTAGGTTCATTTTTTTTCAGGATAGTTATGATAAAGATGAAATGGGCTAAATATTTATTTTTCATATTAAAAAAAAGGTCCTTTGGATGTCCAAGACTAAATCCCTTCCCATATCTAGACTTTTCCGCTATTAAGAAACATACACAATCCTTGTCTCATAAAGCAATTTAAAAGAAATTGCATTTAAGATCATGTTATGAAGTTGGAACCTTTTTACTGTTTAGATATTAAAATTTAAAATTTATAAAAGAAGCTTATTTAAAGTATGTACAGTAACAAAGTTTTCCAGGGAAAAGAAATCCCACTTTGTGCTATTTATAATTAAATAATTTTCTCTCCAGATGATTTCTAAATCTGGAAGGGCAAATGAAAGGCTTAGTTTTCTTTATCTTTCATTTCACAAAATTCTGACTTGCTCTGTAACAGGGATCTGACTTTTCATTTAAATGAACTGCAAATTCAGTAGATACAGAGTTTAAACTATAGGAGACAACCTGGAACCACAACTCATAATTTTAAAAGTGCAAAATAGTTCCATGTCACAAAGAACAATATCTAAGTAGAAAAATGTGAAAATGGCTGTACTTGTAATATTGAGACTGTATAATACTGCTGTTGAGAAGGTCTGAATTAATTTAAAATTCAGGAGAGAAACTAAATATGAAACAAAAAATCTTTCTGACAGAATTATTCTAAAGAGTCTTCTAAAGCCTTCTGAAATGCAAACTGTTTACTGTTATTTAATGATAATGCTTCTTTTCTACCAGAAATGATGCTGCCAACTATCGGATGGCACTTCAACCTAAATACCTTGCTGTAGTCCTGTATGTAGAGATAAAAGTTACACAGGTCTGAAATGTTTTAGAAGTTCAAGGATGATTTCTATTTAAAATGTCAGAGATATGTCTAGAGTGGCAGAGCCTTCTGGGCTATACCTTCCACTTCGTTCTGGATAAATTGATAGAACGAGAAATTATTTATGCAAAAGGTGAAATGGAATGACAGCTAACCTGTACTAACCTATGTTATTTTTATTTATTACCCTTTCTTAAGTCACACAGAAAAAAAAACCCGTATATCTTAAAAATTCTAACTTGTTCCATGGTATTTTTCCAAGTGTATATGAGTGATAGCTATTTGTTTGATCTGAGAGACATCTAAACATCTGCTGTTGCTGACAGTATGTTGTTATCTATAAAAGAAAAAGTAACTGGATAAAAGTTAAATGTCTGTCTATGATCTGATTTCCCATATGGCTACAGATACATGCTGAAATAGCTGAACCAAAAAACCCTGTTCCAACTGTTCTGCGAAGTGCACTTCCTCAGGAGCTGTCTGCCTGAATTAACGCAGCACCATGTGCTTAGGGTAGCACTGGAAATGTCTGATTGCAAAAATAGGCACAGTGAGGGCGGAGATGGGTATGCTCCTGTGGATCACCCTGGAACAGTTTAAAAGATTACTGCCTCCAGCTTTTCATTACTTTTCCTCAACTGGAAGTTATTTTCTTTGTATCTGAAATGAAGTAAAAGGCTGGTTGAGTATTCCCAGTTCATTTTTATCCAAGTAAAACAGAACTGGAGAAATCCCCTCCAGGGAGCATTTACTGCTAGTCAAGGGCAGGCAATGGGAAGGTCCAGTGATGGGCAGTAATGCCCTGTGGGCAGCACCACTGCTGAAGCCACTGCAGCTGCCTCCCCAAGAGACTGTGTGTCCATATCTCAAGGTAACAGCACAGGGAAGGAAAATTTCTGAAGGCTATAGTCAAAGTTGTTAAAATAAAAATAGTTATTCCCAAGCAATGTTAGCAAGTCCTATTTTAATCTAGGTGCAATTATGTTTATGTTATTGTGAAACCCGCACTATCACTTCAACTGAGGCAACACTTGGTACCCAGATCTGTCAGATTAAGGCTGACTTCTGCTAGACATGATTTGGTGTTGCCCTCATTCAGGAACACAGTGAAGTGACAGCAGTAGTTGAGTGTACCCATAGCTGCCTTGGATGGGGTATCCTTCCTGAATCTGGCCAGTGAAGATGGCAGGGAAAGGAAATGAAGCTGTTCTGAGGTGGTTGAGGGTACCTGTTATGATGTAACCAACAACGTAGTAGAACCGCATGTGCCCAAAGTTGATGTTCCTCACTTCAGTCAGCATCCGGTAGATGTGGAGCTGCTCCACGAACATCCACGCAAAGGTGCTCATGTAGAAATAATGCAGGAGGATGGCAATCACAGTGCACACAAACTGCAGAAGAGAAAGGGCAGGAAAATTAGAGTTGCTCTTCTGAATCACAACCTGATGAGTCACCAGCTCCCCCATGCAGCTAAAGGCAAGTGTAATAAAAAGGTTTTGGCAGAACAAATATACTGCCATTAATTAAGTTTTTCAGAGTTTCAGAAAAGCTGTTCATATTGTAAAAGGTGGGGTTTTCTTTAAAAAAAAGTGGCCTGTTCTGAGTCTGGTTCAGCTTTACCCTATCAACCCAACATATCTTGCTCACTGCCCTTGCCCTCCACTTTCTGTGGTTAATTGCTCTGTGCTTATTTGCTGCACAGGCAAGGATGTGGCTATTCTGACTGAATACCTTCTGCTTGCAGAAAGGGCAGGGCTGGCAGAGCTCCCTACTCTTTCTCCTGGTGCAGAGCAGGAGGTGGGGATGCTCCTACAGAGGCTGCAGACCTTCTGCCCTGTCTCTTGTATGCATCCTGCCTGCACAATGCCACTAGGCTGAATTCAGCCACAGCGTGTTTAACTGCAGCAGCTAAACCAGTCTCACTGAAAAGCTAACAAATCATCCTGAGAACGGCCACCTTTGGCCCTGCACTGACTTGGTGTCTCCCATTTCCATGTCAATGGCCACCCTATGGGTTTTTCTGGTACTTGACTCCATCCAGAGAGAGAGAGATATCTCTCTCCAAGGAAGTGTGCTGTTTTGGTAGTTTTGTTTTGTCTTAAAGTAGTCCATGTTTTGTGCCTGATAGTAGTAGATAAAAAAGTACAAAGAAATTCTCCTGGTGTCTGGCAGAGGTGGAGGAGAGGTGTGAGATAGATCTTAGGTCTTCAGTTTAGGACCAGTCTCTGAGAAAGTCCTTCTTACTCTGAAAAACCTCACTTCTGGGCAGAAATCCATGAAGCTTCAGCCCAGGAAAAGTGAACATGCATAACATGAGCTACAGATGATCTATAGACCTTAACCAAAGAAATTCAGCCTTCTTTGAGGAATTTTCTTATTCAATGAAATGTCTGTCTCATAAATAGGCAAAATTTGACATGATCTTATGATCTAGCATAAGATCAGCAGACCATTTTGCCCCTATGTGACTGTGTCATAGGTCTGAAAAGTTCTCTTAAGAAAAAAAGAGAAACAGAAGTATGGATGCACCCATGGGGTAATGCAGCTCTGTCCTTCACTGATGAACCCTGCAGACCTTGCGCATCTATACTTCAAAAAATCATGGAGGATGCTTGGCTGTTATCACTGGACTAAAATGATGCAGCCAGAAGTAGATCACCACCTCCCACCTACTCTGCAGATAAATAAAAAAAGTAGAATCAATCTTTTATCTAATGTCAAAATCAGAGTATTTAACTAGGAAGTGGGAGAGTGGCTTCTAAAGCCCACCCTGGCTTGAGCAGGGGGGTCAACCTCCTCATCCACTGCAGAAAACTGCCCTAACCATTAGGCTGTAGGATATTCTGGATACAGAAATGCTAAGCTTGTCCCTCCTCTTGAGGCTCTGCTACTTGCAGTCAGGCACAGAAGTCATAAGAACAAGCACAAAGCAGGCTAGTGCTGGCTGGGTAGTTCACGTCTTTGGCTAGGAACAAGGGGATCTGGATCTCCAGACCCAGGTCTGGATTTGGGTTTTATCCTATGTCAGCAGTATGAGGTGGATCACTCAGCTCTGCCAGGCTGAAAGCAGCAAAAAAGAAGGACCTGCTGAAACCAAAGAGACTGAGTCCTTACTGTGACTCGGAGAAACAGCCACAGCGGGCAAACTGGTAGCTGAGGTCATCTTTGTCACCAAATGGCCACCTTGAAACCTCTGACCTTCACAGCCTTGCATTTCTGTAATATCTGCTAACCAGCTTTCCCTCTCAACTTAACAGTTTGATGGGTGAAAACAGGAACAGCCACAAACATCCAACACCTGAACTGAAATCTCACAATTAACCTCCTTTCAGAAGCAAAGCAAAGGATTTTGCCAAGGATCTGTCAATAAGCTTAAATTAAGAGCACTTTGTGTAGCCATTCAATTTTTGTTTCAAAATATTTTACATTGTGTTTTGGATCCTTTTGTTCCCAAGCAGCACTGACCCTGCTTTCAGATTTTGGCATGACTTTTTTCATGGTATAATGCTCAGAAATGTACGTTTCCCTGTTGCTGAGTGAAGGAATCGTACAAAGACTGCCAACTTTCTGGATTCACTTACTGCATCAGCTTTATTATAACACCAAGTGTTATTGAAAATGTAGTTCACCAAATAAAAGATCTTTCTTCCCTCTATATAAGCAGAGCTTTTTTTGTTCCTACTGGCACATGCATGTGAGTAGACTGCTGCCCTGAACATTACCTTTTTCAGGTAAGAAAAAAGAAAGAAAATAAATCACTTTCTATCAATAGTCCAAGGAAAGATTAAAACCTCTCCCAGAAATGTGACTGTTAATTTACAGAAACCCATAAAAGCCAGGCTGGGTGCCAAGCAGTGCAGCATTATTTGTGCTCCAGCATTCTTTCCTTCTTTATGTTCATCAGTGCATGACTCGTTAGACAACTCTCATTCCATACAGACAGATGAATAATTGTCTCAAGCAGACATGGCTTACAGCCCTCCTAACTTCTCAATTGACTGGGTAGGCTGTAAGGAGCGGCTTTCTGCTGTATGAAATACGTTCTGTAACTTAAACATCTTTATAACTGGCTTAAAGTTTTGGGTCGTTTCATTGAGTTCTGGTAACAGTATGGGACATGATTACACCATGAGCCCCAAAGCATGAAAATGAGAAGGAGCAAAAGAGAACCTAGTATGACCATTAGTATTTGTGGTATTGCTCTAATGAACTGTTTTACTACTCTTATAAACCTTTGCTTGTGCTTCATGATACTATGAAAGGAATCTGGAAATGAGGAGTCACCATTTACAGCATAATTTTTGGTAAGATCCTGCAGGGATGTGGGCTTGGCCCCTTGCTCCTCAGTATTAATGTTGGAGAACTGAAAGAGTATGAACTCCCTGCTAGTGAAATGCAGTGAAAAATGAGTGGTGTGCTCAAGAAGGCATGGAAAAGGTCAAGTTACACGGAGCGCTGTGGAGCAATTGGCATGATGAGTTAATTTGGGCAAAGTTATTCTAATATGCAAACTCGTATACTATGAAACAAAGACAACATGGGTCACACATGATGTGAGACCATATCCCAGATGGCAGGTCACTGCAGAAGACCTCACTGTAGCAGCAGACAACTGGAGTTCCTGGTGCAGGGGAATACTGGAATATGGGACTGAAAGTGACACTACCAGCTGGAAAGCTTAATCCAGTTTAGCATTCAGAGTTTTCCAAAAAGTAAAGTGGGGGAAGAAAATTCAGAAAAAAAGGCAACAGAATAACCTGAATCTTAGAAATTGAAGAATTTAAGCAGCTTGATTTTATTTAGTTTTCCAAAAGAAATACTATTGAACAGAGGCTTCCTGAGAAGACAATTTTTAGAAGAGAGGTATCTCAATTTACTAGGAAAAGGTCTTGACAGCGTGCAGTTACTGGAAAAACTGAAATTAGAAAAATCTGACAGCATGTTTAACTGGGATGAGACACTACGACACCTCACACTAACAGAGGTAAAGGGAGTCTGTCATCACATCAAATCACTAAGTCAAGGTCAGATACTTTCTAGAATGCATGTTATAGCTCAAATGGATAGCAACATCCAGGGTGACACTTTAGGCTTGAGTTATATAGTACATGAGGCTACATGGTCAGGCACAGTGGCGTTGTTACCATAACGGTGATGATAACCGTTGCCTGTAGGCATTTTCTCTCATTTCTGCTGCTTGGGCAATATGGAATCAGCATGGTTAATTTTCTGTGTGTCTGTGTGTTTTCATCTCAAGATTGTACTTCCCTCTCAAAATTTAGATTGAAGCAAGTATAGTAAAGGATTTCCAGAATAGACATTTTCTTCAGAGTGTTCAGATAATCCCTACGCCAACATTTTGAATATTCTTCATATCTGTTAAGGACACACTTTTTATTGCATGTCATCTCCCATTTGTCTGCTGACTGGTAAAGGCAACTGTGAGGCCTGGCAGTGCTGGAATTCTTGCCTGCTTGTGTCCTACCTGACTGCATGGTAACCATGACTTTTGAGGTGGGTGCTACTAAGAATTAGCAGCAATACTACATATAGTGCTACACAGTTAAGATAGCAATGAGGTGCTAGGTACAGAACATACACATTTCCTGTGTGGCATATATCTTGTACTGAGTCCATTCACAGCTTGCGTTTCTTGACATGCACAATGCTGGAGGTGCCTGCACTAAGCTTTGGCAACAGATACGATGGGATGAAGCCAACAATCACTGTGGCTGGAAGGCACAAAGCAAAGCGACAGCTTTCCTCCTGATTCTTGGATGTAGCAAGCTATCCCATGCCTGGCAAGTGGCTTCTCCAGAATGGCCATGGTAGGTGTGCAACATGCATATTAGCACCTGCACAGCAACACGTAGTTGATAACCTACCAGTCAGCACCAGGAGCTGTGTGGGCTTGTGAGGTACCTGCTGCAGGAGAAACTGGAGAGCCTCCTACCGAACAGACAAAGCAAGACAGAAAACATACTGATGGGAAAGAAGGAAGAAATCAGTATTCAGGGTTCAGTTCCCGGGATAAGCCTTCAACAGGGCTGTTGTCATATATGTATCTCTGAAAATAAGATACAGTCGTATCTCCTGGTATTGCTATTCATCACGTAAAACACAAAAGAATGTATTAAAGACCTGATGTTTTTCAAATGACTGTTGAGGCCAAGCAGAAGTAAAAAAGAAGAGAAAGTGAAACAGATGGGAGCAGGTAAAAGTCACAATATGAACCCACTGATTTAAAGCTTGACAACAATCTAGCAATAAGCTCAGAGTAACTCTTACCGGATTTTCAGTCTGATTGATTCCAATAAGAAAGACGAGCTCAGAGAAGAAAAGGGCAGCCACCAGGTTTTTGTGGATACTGTGCAAGTTGGAACGTAGCGTGCGGATCAGGACCAGCAGTATGAAGGTGATCAGCAAAGCCACCAGCGAGATGGACACCGTTGTGTAAGTGACAATCTTCAAAGGAAGCACCTCCCCATTCTGTAGAAAGGCAGATTGACAAGACCTCTGTGAGTTTTTCCTTCCTTTTCCTCCAATCAAATCTACTACTCAGAATGTCAATGTTTTCATGACTATTGAGCCAACATACAGATTTGCTTTAGGACTAACATGAGTGGACAATGCCACCTCTTAAATTATTCAACATGTTGAGCGTGTACCAGCAGCATCCAGAGGGTGCACTGACCAGGGAAGAAGATCCTTTCAGCAGACCCAATGGCAGGTGCTGTCAGGCAAGGGGCGACGTACTCCTGACCCGCTGCAATATGGGATCAATCTGCTGACGATGCTCTGAATCATGCTCAAAGTTCAAGCTCAAGCTCTGAATCAAAGCCCTTGAAAATGACACCATCAAAAACCAAACCCCTCGAAAATCGTGAGTCTGAAATCACCCACCTCTCGTTTTGAAATGTCCATCAGAACAGCAAAGCTGGTGATATGGTTGCACTGGCAAGCGATGTGGCTCTGGTTTCTGTAAAACAGCTCACATCCTCGGGAGGACCAGGCACCTGTCCCGCCAATCCTGAGGGAAAAAAAGCCATTTCTGAGAGCCCTCCTCTGATTTCCCCTGGCCTCCCACTGCTATAGCTCTCCACAGCAGCTCTGCTTCTGCAACCAGAGAGGGCTCTAAGTACCAAGAGAGAAATATTTATAGCTGTCACCTGCCTGAAAGAGTATTATCACCCTAAAAAGCCTTCAGTTCAAGGAGTTTCTGATATAACAGCTGGCTCTGCTGGTCAAATTTTGTGGTTTTATAACAATCTGGTTTGAATTAAAAAAACAGAAATTGCTTTTGGGTCAGTGATCACACAAGCAATACAGGGAAATTATTGTACAGAGCAAACTGGTTGTAATAACGGTAAGAAAATACCAAAACCAGAGAGATACATGTTTTTGAGTCATCTCTTTTTTTTTTTCCCTAGATCTAGACACTGCTTGTAGAGCTCTTATGTGAAACGTTTCAGCAATAATATGATTTAGTTATAGTGTTCCTCTGAAAAGTACACAAGAAAAGGTTAAAGCCAGTAAATAATATTTCATATCAGGAGTTCACTTGCACTAACATCGGGGAGGAAATGTTCCCTCAAAAATTCTGCCCCGGGCAGCCTTGGTTAACTCCAGTGGCTTCAGAAATTATTTTGTCTCAATATTAATCATTCTATTCTGAAGTTAATGAGTAATAAAAATAGTGTAGTTACTGAAAGAGATTTTAATTATATATGACAAGACATCTTTTTCATTCAGCAATAATATATTTGTTAAACAGTTTTAGTATCACTTTCTCTTGAAAAGTACTCACTTTTTAAAAACTGTTTCATTACATGCAGTTTAAGACCTGCTTTTCAACTGTGGCTGTAGAAAGATGTAACACAGATAACAATGCCATTAAAGTTGCCAGCAAATAGCTAGTAGAAGAATCACTTCAGGGCTGATGAGTTATTCAAGCCCACACGATGTTTAAGAATTTATGGAAAAGGACTTGCCATTCCCTCATAATTGGCAAAATCATCTGTACATACAAGCAAAGCCACCACTTTACATGCAGGCAAAGGGAGTAGTTTATTACTGAGAACATAACAGATTTATGTTGCCTCTTCCATCTTTTCAACAATATAATCTCCTGAAGCTTTTGACTAGGAGGGAAACACTTCCTAGCTTAGTTTCCTCTTTATTTCCAGCAAAGGATACTGCCTTTTAATGGATTTTTCCATAGGTTTAGTAGAGTTTTTGTGTCATAAGGAATCAAGTAACAGCTATTTCTCTTATCCTGGGCAGACAATATCATCCTCCAAATCAACCATATACCTGGTTTTATGCTTGAAAATTGCATTATATATGCAATAGCTACAATATTGTGAAATCGTAACATGCAGAGCATGTAGTTACCTCTCAACACATTTTCTTTTGTTTTATCCACGCAATTGAAATATTTCCAACAGGACTGTGATGTTTCCACAATGCCATAAACCCAACAAAACACTTACAAGCATACACAGTTCTTAATATTTTTTACATTTTCAAGAAAAGTATGTCTGTATCTTTAACTTTACTGAATACAAAAGACCTAAATAAGCCATTTGCAGAATACTTCGTCTTTTCCTTTACATTTCCCTCCTAGAGAGTCAAATACTCAATCCTTACATTCTCCTTATGTACTATGATTGCTTCCTAACAACTGGAAGAGGACTAAGGTCGCAAAACAAGTACTTCCTCTCCCTCCAATTCTTCACTAAAACAAATGAAAGCAAATCCACAATAGTTGACAGAATGAAAGGTAAGTTGCTTCTGATCAGTGCAATTGTATTTGGGTTGATTTTTGATTCAAAAATTTGAGATTCAAAAATTTATAATCTTTACCCATACAATTTTATCTGCAAAACCTCAGTCCTCCTTTTCACCAATAAGAAGACTTGGTTTTGTAATTTTTTGCACTGGCCCTGGCTGAGGCATCAAAGACTCATAGTCCATAGTCCATCCATAGTCACTGGAGTGTAACAGAAGATTCAGCCCATGTAAGAAATGAATCATCTCCTGGAGATGCCTCCCCATAAGAGGGGATGGGGCAATCCTAACTTAAGAACCTCAGAAGAGCCAAGGACTTGGGCACTGGAGTGGGACTTTGTCTGACCAGATATACATATGTGACCAAAAAGCATGAGCAAATACAAGGAAATTGTGAGATTTTTTATTGCTGGGTGAAAATGAACCCTGCAGAAAGGCAAGATGGCACTGTGTTTGCTAGAAACCACATGGCTAATCCTTTGTTTGAGGAGTTATGATGATTATTTTCATTTTTCTCAGGTTGGTGGGAAACGACTACATGGCTAAATTCCACCAGAAATCAGCTGCCAGTTGGATAAACTGAACAATAAAAGAATTATCTTCCTGGGCAGAACTTCTTTGCTACTGGGACAGTTATCACGCACTGCCCTACAGCAAGCAGAAGACATACGGAGACATACGTGATGGAGTGATTCCAGAAGACACAGACGGGCTTTGTCCTCTCCTCCGTTTCCAGCATGGCGTACTCTACTATGATGGGCTTTTCCACCAGGTTGGGAGGAAGCTCCCTGTCACTGTGAATGGCTGTGCTCACTACAGGTGTGTTAATAATAGGGCGATTTGGCAATCTGTGGAAGGAGAAAAATTGCACAGCGATCTAAACATTAAAACGCAAAGCACAGACTTGGTAGGTTCTGCAAATAAAATATTTCCAGTTGCTTCCACTCAGAGAATGAAGTAGATGCGCCATCAGCCTTCCACACAGCTGTGTTTCCAAAAGCTGCTGGCACCACTGACATGGTTATGCTCCCACAGTGTGCCACAGGAGGACAAGAGCACCTCTCCTATGAGGACAGGCTGAAAGAGTTGGGGCTGTTCAGCCTGGAAAAGAGAAGGCTCTGGGGAGATCTTATAGCGGCCTTCCAATACCTGAAGGGGGCCTACAAGAAAGCTGGGGAGGGACTTTTCATAAGGGCAATTAATGACAAAACAAGGGGAAAGAGGGTAGGTTTAGATTAGATATTAGGAAGAAGTTCTTCACTGTGAGGGTGGTGAGACACTGGAACAGGTTGCCCAAGGAAGTTGTGGATGCCCCCTCCCTGGAAGTGTTTAAGGCCAGGCTAGATGAGGCTTTGAGCAACCTGATCTAGTGGAAGGTGTCCCTGCTGATGGCAGGGGAGTTGGAACTAGATGATCTTTAAGGTCCCTTCCAATCCTAACCATTCTATGATTCTGTGATTCTATGAAGAGGACTGTGGTGACAACTGCAGCACAGATGACAACTGGTCAGTATAAAAGCAGCTCTGTCTCCCCTGCACACTCAGAGCAAGTGGAAGAAGGAATCTGCACAATTCACAAACAGGTCTGAAGTTTACCTCAAGCTCCTTCGGTCAGGATCATAGTTTTCAGGCAGGAGGTGTCCCAAGGATCGGTATATAATGACCATGGCAACAGTATGACGTGTTGAATCATCTGGGTGTCGCTTCCTTCTCTTTGAAAAAGCACTCTCAGGGCTTAGTGCATCACTGTTCACTTTAGAGGATAATTTTTGATTTGAAGGCTTCATTGTAGGCACTGCTATGGAATTAACACAAATATTAAATTCTTTCCACACAACTTCAGAGCTAACATTTAAACTGTTAATTTTGCTTTGCAAAGACACAGTTACTGCTGTTATAACTCTAGGCTTATAACACTAATGTCGTATTGATATTTTTAATAAAATTTTAGCACATTTCATAGTTATACAGCTGATAATCAAATAACCATTGAACCATGAATAACCATTTAGTCTAGCTAGAAAATAAGCCATTTCTAAGCTAGAAGATCCATAAGTATATAAATACTCTGTGCTTGACTGAAGGAGAATATTAAAACAATATGCATGCTATTAAATTGCATGTACCTTTATATATAGCAAAGCTAGTGTTATGAATACACCAATTGGTCACATGGGATTTCTCCCTGCTAATTCTGTCATACAGTGAGCTTTCAGTTTTGGCAACATCTCTTAAAATTCACATTCTCTTTTTTCTTACAGAAAAGGTACAAGTCATACAAGCAGGTGCCCTGTTTCTGAGGAAAAAGTCAAAAAGCTGTATTAGCTTATTAATTATTATGTGTTATTTTCACAAGTGTTATTATATCCCCATTCGGAGGATATTCAGCTATGGTACATGTACAAGTATTGCACTTTGGGGTATAGCTTCTCTCAGCAATCTTGGGGTACTTCAGAGACACTGGGAAGCAGGTACTTCCCCAAGTATTCGCCCTCATCACCCATCTCCCTGCATAGCTCAAGACTTTCTGTTTGCTGTCTGGTTATGGTAACACAGCTCTGCTCCCAGATTTGGATTCTCCACCTCTCACACCACCTCCCTCCATCTCTGCAGGGACTGGGTGAAGGTGGCTGTGGGGCTGCAGGTGGCTGTCCCATCCTATCCTGATGGGAACAGAGGCAGAGTATTTCTCTCGCATTGACAGAGCTGTTTGAGGGGCGGCAAGCGAGACCTGACAGACAGGTACAGCCAGTTACGCAGCCCCCCATGCTCCTGTCGCTGCCGGCAGGCAAAATGCCTCAGAAGTATGCACAGCTGCTCCAGCCCTCAATCATGTTCACTTGTGTAGATGTTTGCCCCGCTCTCACCCCAGTATCCCTCCGCTTCGTGAGGACTGATGACTCTCCTTGGGAGCTAGTCAAAACTGCCCTCCAAACGGCAGCAGAAGGGTTTTACCTTTCCTGTCTGAAGGTCTGAACAAAGTATCAGGGAAGACAACAGATGACTCCAGATCTTTTGGATAATCTTCTTTAATCTCATGAAATCGTGGTATTCTAGCTCCCGTGAAATTAGACTTGTCAAAGATGTCAACAGCAATAACTGGAGGAAAAAAAGAATTTCCCATAAAATTAACTCTTAATACTTTCAAATATGATATTGCAACAAAATGAAACATGACTGAAAGGTTAAAATATCCACACAATGCAGAGAAGACATTTAAACCCCCAAATACAAAGTCAAACTTAACTTCTCTCAATTAATGCCTTAGATGACAACTGGAAGCTTATGTGTCAGCATTATGTTACATTAATCAAAGTACAAATTTATTTTGCAAAGGAAAGGAATTCACAAGACAGTATCTCATACTAGGAAAACACTACTGCAAACATTGCAGATATAGGATTGGCATGTTTCAGTTTCGGACTTGCTTCTTGTAGGGAAGGCTAAACACGCTGCTTCAGAAATAGAGTTCTTTTACATCAGTTAAACTGCAAAGTCAGCTAAGCAAAGAAAATAACTGTGATTTTACCTCGGACTACTCCTTAGTGCTCCAGTTCTCCTTCCTCTACACTAGCAGTTCCTCTCTGGCTCACCTCATCAGCTCTGCCTCTTGTCTAACTGCCAAAATATTTAAAAGCAGCTGAGTTGGCTTGAACTTTCCCATTTAAGAAAAGTCATTGAGTGCCAATTTAGATGTTTTAATAAAAGTGAGAAGCTGGAAGTCCTGGGGGTAACCCTACACCAAAAGCTGTGATCCACTGCAAGTTTCTATATGAAGAAATATCCTAGTTAAGATCTGCAAATTCCCATTCCTTTCCTAGTCTCTAAATAACTCCCAGATGAGCCATTAGGAAACTCCATTAACACCACGTTCACCTGGAAAAACTGTTCAAAAGAAAACAGACCCCTTTCAGGCCAGAGTTGCCTCATCCCTCCCAAGCTCATGCCTTTTCACTCAGGATGAGCTGGTCAAAGAAAATCGAGATTTACAACCTGTAAGAAATTCTGGATTTTGTTCTCATCTCAGTTAGGTTTGGTTAAAATACTGAACATTCTTTTTACTGAGTGCAAAAATAAAAACATTTTGATTCTGATAGTCCTGAGTTAAAAGGAAATCTTTTGTCTTTGGTGTATTAAACAGAAATCAAAGTACTTCAGTTTGGCTTAGTTCAACAATAATCCTTCCCCCCCTGCAGTCAATGCAGGACTTCATAACTTGACTGTAGCTTGACTGTCTCAGGCCTTTGCTTTTCATGCCCCTGTGACTGTGGACATGAAGCACTCTCAGGACAAGGTTTCTAGGTGAAGGCAAATTCACTTCTTACACCAATGGGTGTAGTTGGGAAAGTAAGACAAGGTTTTTGGCACGTGAGCCCTTCTTCAGGTCTGAAATAAAAGCAGCAGCTTGAAAAGCTAAACACAAGTTCAGGCTGGTAACAATTTAGACCAATTCTGAAAGAAAAACCAGACGGCAATGCTGCTTGGGAGGGACTTCTGAAGGTCACCCAACTCAGTCTCGCCTCCCACTCAGAGCAGAACTATCACCAACACCCGATCGGCTCAGACTCTTGGTACCTGGGGAGAAAATGAAATAGAGGCAAGGGGAGAAAATGGAGAAAGAGGCCGACCAGGCTGTGGTTGCTGTGCTTCACTTGCACGTGCACTGCAGGGACATCTGTGAAGTACATCGCAGTCCTGCAAGTGCAGGAGCTGTTATTTGCTTGTCAGAGGTAGCATTTACTGTGATAGGTGGGGAAGGTGTCTTGTTATGCTTCCTTCTCAGTTTAGACCCACATTTGGTCACAAGTGGTGTTCCCCAAGGTTCAGTACTGGGGCCAGTTCTCTTTAATACCTTTATCAATGATCTGCATGAGGGGATTGAGAGCACCCTCAGTAAGTCTGCAGACAACACCAAGTTGAATGGAAGTGTTATCTGCTTGAGAGTAGGAAGCGGGATCTGGACACGTTGCATTGATGGGCTGAAACCAACTGTATGAGGTTCAACAAGGCTCAGTGCTGGGCCCTGCACTTGCGTCACAACAACCCCACGCAACGCTACAGGCCTGGGGGAGAGTGGCTGGAGAGCTGCCAGGGAGAAAAGGACCTGAGAGTGTTGGTCAGCAGCTGGCTGAGTGTGAGCCAGCAGTGTGCCCAGGTGGCCAAGAAGGCCAATAGCATCCTGGCCTGTATCAGAATCAGTGTGGCCAAGTAGGACCAGGGAAGTTATCTTACCCCTGTACTTGGCACTGGGGAGGCTGCAACTCAAGTACTGTGTTCAGTTTTGGGCCCCTCACTACAGGAAAGACATGGAGGCGCTGGAGCATGTCGAGAAGGGCAATGAAGCTGGTGAAGGGTCTGGAGCACAAGTCTTATGAGAAGAGGCTCAGAGAATTGGGGTTGTTTAGCCTGGAGAAAAGGAGACTGAGGGAAGAGCTTATCACTGTCTACAACTACCTGAAAGGAAGGTGTAGACAAGTGGGTGTTGGTCTCTTTTCCCAAGTAACAAGTAGTAGGACAAAAGAAAATGGCCTCAAGTTGTGCCAGGGGAGGTTTAGGTTGGATATTAGGAAAAATTTCTTCACCAAAAGGGCTGTCAAGCATTGGAACAGGCTGCCCAGGGGAGTGTGGAGTCATCATCCCTGGAGGTATTTAAAAGATGTGTAGATGAGGTGCTTAGGGACATGGTTTAGTGGTGGGCTTGGCAGTGTTAGGTTAACAGTTGGACTTGATGATCTTAAAGGTCTTTTCAAACCTAAACAATTCTATGATTTTATGGATATTCTGGACCCCAAGAACTTTGCTCTGATGATGGGTTTTGCAAGGTGAGGAGGGTGTTCGAAGGCTTGGATGGATGCTTCTGAGAGAATACCTTTCAACACAGGAACTTCTACGGAAGATTTTCCAGGCTAGCAAGGCATGTGAAAATCAGAGGTATACAATCAATAGTAGGCTGGCCTTTTTTTTGTGTATTGCAGCAATTCTTCAGGTAGTGGTTCTGTGCTGCTTTCATAAATGTGATCTACTATGTTCAACTATACTAGGTAATCTCAAAAGACACTAACTTTACTTACAAACTTCGTCCTTCCTACCACCTGTACTGTGGCTGCAACAAAATGCCACAAAGAGCAGTGGCATGGCCCAAAGAGAAAACAGATCAGACACGTCCCAGAAGGCCCCCACGGCAACTGAGAGATATGGATCAAGGCTCAATTGACTTGAAATGAATGCACTGATTAGAAAATCCAAGTATGTTGTTTCTCAGTGGGTACTACTAAAACAAATAGCTAGCACCTCTATCCAGCACATTTTTAAAGCTCTCATACAAAATGTCAGTTTTCCACACAGGTACTCACTCATGTTAGTGGCAACAATGACGAAAGGTCGCATGTAGGTTTTCTTCATGTTCTGGGCCACGTTGTTGAAATATTCCTCATAGTGCTTGAGCAGGTGAGCGGTGCCACCCTCTGTTCTCTGAATTTGCTCCCAGTGCTCCTTATTGCTGGGGTCCAGTAGAGCACTGCCCACTTTGATAATATTCTGAGAAACAAAGTACAAGCCTAAATTATGAAGCAAGCAAAGCGCTGGGCTTTAAGCAAAGAATATTTAAATGATTGGCATTACTGCCTCAGGTGAGTGTATAATGAAATATTTTAATGCAGGCACGTTCCACTGCAGCCGTATGAAAGTATGCACACCAGTTACTCAACCTGAGGTTTTTTTGTTACATAAAGCAAATCCCTTCAAACTTTTTATGAGCAACCTAAGCCAGAACTGGAGAACTGGAGGCTGTAAGAGAACTGCCTACTTTCTTTCCTCTTTATGACAGGAAACCTAGCATGAAAATGCAGAAGGAAAACTTAACTATGTTTGTCTCAGAAAGATGAGAGACAAGAAAAGCAGAGCACTTGTTATGTACACTGAAGAACTCCCTCAGAGAAATTAAAATAATGTAATATCTTAAAAATCGAAAGACAAAAAAAATTGCTCTCTTATTTTTTTATGGTACGAATTAATCCACTCAAGCTCTCAAATAGCTAAGGCGGGTATCTGGATACACATAACCCTTCCTTTTGAAGCTGACAGGGAAGATGCTACGTTCTCTAAGTATTGTCTGAGGTTGCAAGCTCGTATCTGAGATAAAAGAGGCTGCCAGTGTGACTACCTTTATCAAGGGTGAGAAGCACTACACGGTTCTCCAGGAATGCAGGAGACACATGTTATGCTTGATACCAGGCCTCCTCGGTGTTTGTGAATGCTATTTATGTTTTTTCATGATCTATTTTTCAGGCTTCTACCTAAGAATTAAAAAAAAAAAAAAAAAAATTCCTTCCCCTCTTGCGTTCCCTCAGCCTAGGATGTTACCTCCTTTTTGTCATGAGCTTTACTGATTAGTTTTCAAATTCCTAACCTATCCTAAAAATATTTAGGGAGTTCTTGAATAAATCAACTGTGTGAGTTTCAGTGCCAAGTGCAGAGAACAATAAATTAAAGCAGAGGTCTCCAAACGACTCTTTTTGCTTATTGTTCTTATTTTTACTTAACAAAGCTCGCTAAAAAAAAAAAAGTTCCTTCTCAAACGGGGAGTTCATTCACTCCACAGCTTGCAGGTACAAGTCTATCAGCACAGTGTCCTTAGGAAACGAAAAACTGAATCTCTTAAAAGCTGGTGCATCTAAAACATTTAACATTTCAGAAGTTCTCCAGTCTCTGTTGACTCTATAGCCCCAGACACTGAGGAATCTTCTCAGTTGCATTTCATCCTGCTCCCACCTCCCTGGGGATGTCCCCTCCTGGTGCAGCTTGGCCTTGCACAGAGTCTCCAAGTTCACCTCAAAGTCTGCCTGAACTGGCTGGTTGTTCCAGAGTACTGTGAGCAGTGAGCTGGGTGTACCACACCTTCAAAGGAAGCCAAGCCACCTTTGGCCAGCACAGAAGCCAGTTTTGGCCCATGGAAGGTTGTTCCAGCATCTCTATGCTGGTGCCTGAGCTGTGGGCTCTGCTAGCACAGGTCCAGCGGGATGTTTTAGCTTGGACTCTGTGCTGTGCCATGGTCGGGATCTTGGAAATAGTATTGGCAAGCGTGGACAGCAGTACCCCACAGCACAGATGGGAACAAGGAGAGCTCTTCGAGCTTGACATGGGTCATACAACCTTCACATTTTCAGACCACAGGAAACTCCCAACTTCCTCCACATCTCACATTTTTCCACCACAACTGTGTTTCCTCCAAACAGGGAGGGTGCTACTGCTTATTCTTTAGAGCTGGTCAGGTCTTTGGTAATAATTAGGTCTTGCATGAAGGCTCTGAGTAGCAGAAGCTCTCTAGCATCTAATTTTGTATATGCCTGCATCACTTAAAATATCAATACAGTATGGAGTGTCTTTCAATGTACCAACTCTTTAATAAACATGACTCAAGTATTACCAAACTGAATTATAAGAAGCCTTCAGAAGCAGTAACTGGCTCAAAGTTATTTCACTGCACATTTAAATGTAAATGATCACATTAGGCAGGTTTTCCAACAAAATCGGATACAGTACACAAAGCTATTTTATCCAGGAATCAATTTGATTATTTTTTCATTTGAGGAATTTTGCTTTTGGTTGTTACTATGATGATATTTATTACGTGTGCATATAAACATGCATAACCAACTTCCCATTCTAAACTGAGGCGACTGACTCATTTGTGAAACAGATTAAGCAATTACATTATATTCGCTCCACCTTGGTCAAAGATAAATTTAATTATCCATTGCCATAAAACTTTAATGGGGAACTGTAATGGCTCAGCATAGTATATAGTATCTCTCTTACTTCATTGAATTCCACATCCCTCGTGGCTGCCAAGTCAAACCCTTGCTGTTGGCTCTCATATTGGAGGACTCGGATCATCATCTGATAAGCTGTCCTCACATCGTTGCCATACAAGCTCTGTGTGTATTTGGTGGCATTCTGCAGCGCTCTTACGATCCGTATGGTTTTGTCTCCATCCAGCTTGGTCTCATTGTGGTGTAACTTCTCATTCTGAATTGAAGACAAGAAGGAAGAGAAAACCCAATTATGTAACTTTTTTTCTTTCCCCCCCTCATTCTGGTTACAAAAAGTAATAATAATTTAGGGATTTTTGTCACAAAAGAGTTGTTGATCAAAATGGCATTTTGTCTTGAGAAAGGGTGGCCAGGACAATTAAATGGAAAATGTAACTGAGAGCCAGAAAAGCACAAGGGTCCTGACAGGAAACGAGGGGGTTCAAGGACTCAGTCAAAAGATAGAGTGCAGGGATATCAAACTGGAGTCTGAACCGATGATCTTTCAAAAATAAAGACAAAACCAAGAAAAAACAACTTACCATGATTTTTAGATCCACAAAAGTGCTGGTGGTGCAGTTGAAAAGCTCAGGAGGTAGCCAGCCCTTTTCAATGTTACAATGGCGAACCGCGTTTCCTGAAGGAAACAAAGTGTGAATGGCAAATAATGTTCTGAATTGTGCTGGATAAATCTTCATAGATTTCAAATTTCCTAGACTTT